CGATTTTGTAATGGTAGATAACATATTTGTTAGGTAGTGACTTCGCTGTTAGCGCGGAAGGTAGACGGCCATCACGAAGTGTACTGAGCCCTTCAATGTGTACTGGTTATCCATTGTTCAAAGCATCTAGTGATTTCGGCAAGGTTTCTCATGCGGAAACCTGGTGTATTTTGAAAAATTGGCCCGCCCACGATTCTACCTGGGAGCGATTATGTCAAACATTTTTTATATTGAGAAGAAAAAGAATTACTGAATTTTTGTGTCACGTTCCGGACATACTGTGGTGTCATACCAGTCAAAATCAGGAACAAAAAGGAAGATCCACCTATTCCGGAATGTGCAAGGAGTCTGGATTATTGGAAGTAGAATTCACCAGATGCAACTTGGCACCAGGTAATGTTGCAAATTATAGACGTTGCAAAGCATTTTATACTCTTCTAATTTTGATGTCGATTTAAGTATTTGACCCCCAAATCTGGATTTTTTGTCTATTTCCTTAAATGATCTTGATAATCGACATTATTCTTCCCACAGCACACGTATTTTTCAACGTATTAGAAGTACTGAGTATATTATAAAGGGTGTTCCAATAGGGACGCAATATTTCAAGGCTCTATTAAACATGGTATTTCGTAACAAGCAACTAAAATATTTATTGGATTATGTATGAAACAACACATCAGGTAAATGGCTGCCACGGCTCCACTGGCACATGCGCACTCTTTTAATAAAGTTTGTGATAACATTTTTAAACACATGCCCTGGTATGCCGTTGATACAGCATCTGATTTCAGCTTTCAATGCTTCGGTGGTTGCAGGCTTGTTAGCATAAACTTGTGACATCAGATAACCCCAAAGTCAAAAGTCCAAAGGTGTTAAATCGCAAGAACGTGGCGGCCAATTCTGGTCACCAAACCGGGAGATGAGTCGACCAGGAGCAAACTTGTGCAAAACTGCCAATCTTTCATGAGCAGTATGGCATGTGGCACCATCCTGCTGAAACCATATGTCATTAAGAGCCATGAATTGTGGCATAAAAAACGGAGTAATCATTGCACGATAACGTTCGTCCTTCACTGTTAGTGGATTACTTGCCTTGTCCTCAAAGACAAAACGGTCCAATAATTCCTCCAGACCATAGTGCATACCAAACAGTGACACGTTTTGGATGCATAGCTTTCTCATGAAATACTCTTGGAGTCTCTGTGTCTCAAATGCGGCAGTTTTGTCTATTGAAGAAGCCATGGAGATAAAAATGGGCTTCATCGCTAAAAATGATTTTGTCTAGAAAATTACCATGCACATACTGTTGGCCAAGGATCCAATTGCTAAACTCTCTTCGCTGTGCATGGTCTGTTGGCATAAGCTGTTGAGTCAATTGGACTGTGTGGGCATGCAGGTGTAAATATTTCGCTAGAATACGCTGGAGAGTGGCTGTCTAATGTCCAATTCTTGAGCGGGATGACGAATCGACGTCCCTGGACTCTCGGCTACATTTTCGTGAACTGCTCTGACATTTCCTACCGAACGACCGCTAAGAGCTCGGATCGTATGTTTCACACCATTAACAGAACCGGTTTTTTTAATTTTTTTGATTATTCTTGTTACAGTGGTTGGGGTAGGAACATTACTATACGAGTATTAGCTGCGCTTTTAGAATCGTGGCAATTAAACTTTCACCACTTTGGTAATAATTTTTAACAATTAGGATACGCTGTTCTATTGTGTAATGATTCATTTTCATAAACTTCCGCCCGTCTACTATCGATCTGGCATGTCACAATCATTATGTCATTATGACTGTCAAAATGGCGCTAAATTCAAATATTGCGTTCTTATTGATACACCCTTTATAATATATTGTCGACAAATGAATAGTATTTCAGTTATATCAAAGTCTATCTAATTCTTTTATAGTTTGTGGTTTGCAAATCAGGATATGGAGCGATTTACCGATCCACCTTCAATGCTCCATATTTCGTTTATCCTGTAAACTTTGGATGTACTGTCCTGCACATCCCGTTTTAAAAGCGTAGCTGTGCTAGATAATAGACACCGACTGCTGAACAGCCCTTCTCTTTTATGTTTGAAGGGGATCATATTTAATTAAATTTAATTTAGTATCGGACAGCTAATTATATAGTAAGTATCGTCATGTTTCAAAATAAATTTAATTACATTTTGTTCACCTGCATCGTGTTGCAGGAAGCTACTGTCCAACAGCAACCAATTATAAGTGAGTGCATTCTTGGTAATGATTTTATCATGTTTCATTTTCCTACGCATTTTGTATAATTAGTGGAATGACCTTGGTGTTATATGTACATGGAAACCCAGGGAAGCTGAACAGGCCTTGGATATTTCCAGTAAAAGACATTTAAAATATTGTATATTAAAAAGGGGCTATAATATACCAGCTGGTAGTTATCGCTAAAATGGATAATAATCTTCAATGTATAACATAAGGTTTCATGAACCTCAGTTCTATTTAATGAGTTAAATCTTAGCTGGTAGATTATAAGCTACAAGAACGGTATACATAGAAAGTTTTAAATGTTGAGCTCACAGAGATAAGCTAGAAGGTGTAAGTTGTTCCCAGATAGCTCTAGTTTATCCATCGGGACTCATAAAAAAGAATAGAATATGCCAAATGTTTTTCTTTTAGGTAGCTAACAAAATGCCCCTTAGAAAGTTTCGAAGAGTGACGGAAAGATCTGAATTCTCCCAAAATCGTTTCAATATCATCTTTTTTTGTAGTGGGATTTCATAATAAATTGCTCATTATCATTGTCGCTTTTTCTCTTCTACAAGTTGGGATAATTAGATTTTCAGTACGACGTTTCGTCTCTTGTCCTCCTTTACTTTTTCTCACTGACGCCATATTGGGCTTTTGCACAGGTGAATGGAATTTTTAATTTTGGTTAAAAAAATATGTGATACATCATACATTGTCGTTGCCTGACATTAATTTGACTGTAGTATGTTCCGATCAGCTGACTTTCAGAGAGAAGTAAACTTAAGTAGTCGCAATGTACTCAAATTTAACTTATCCTCTAGAAGTATTCCCAGAAACTTAGTATCAGTTGTGAAGTTTAATGATGCATTCTGGTGTTTAACGTCAGGTACATTGATCTTCTTTTGTGAGTTATGGTACCTATATAAATTGGTCTTGTCAGTGTTCAAAATCAACTGATGTTTGGAAAACCAATCACCGATCTTTGCAATTACTTCATTGCATCTATCATTTAAGACATTTTAAAATTTGCTCGAGACTTGTAATTATGCATCATCTGCATATATTGTGTACAGCGCATCCTCACACACTGAGTCAATCTCATTGATAACGAGAACAAACAAAATAGGCCCTAAAGTGGAACCTTGAGGAGCCCCAGTATCAAAAGTGGCTTTACCGATTTTGATTTGGTGTAACATTTGCTCATTTTTATATTGTAGAGAAACATATTGCTTTCTATCAACAAGGTATGAGTTGAGCCACCTATAAGGACCGCCAGTCACACCAGATGCAGAGAGCTTTTGCAACAAAATATTTTGGTTGACACAGTCAAAGGCCTTACACAAGTCGCAAAATACCCCAACCGGGCACTCACCTGGCTCATTGAATGGAATATGTTTCTGCTCAAAAAACATCAGTAAGCGACTGGCATAGCGATACTCAACAATTTTTGAGAATCCGGACGGTATCGTTATTGGCCTTAAATGTGTTATGTCGGATGGATCTCCTTTTTTATAATACAGTAACAACTTTCCATTTCCGGAAATTTCCCTAGGCAAAAGGACAAATTAATCGAATGTACCAGGGATCTACTAATAGTATGTAACGCACGTTTCAAGAGAAACCCAGGAATTTCATCTAGACCAGCTGGGCTTATCTTTTAGCGGGTCTAGAGACTAGACTTCGTTGAACGGATTTACAAACATTTCGTTCGCTATATTATGTGATTTTTCACAAATACTGTTGTATTAATGAACTGCGATGTTATATTTTTGAACTATGAACTGAAATGATTTGCCATATCCAGTGGATCAGTGATTACAGATTACAGAAGGGAAGGTTTGGCTTGCCAGCCTTAACGTTTCTAAAGCACTGAGGCTTGATCCTTTGAACAGATTCCATTGCCTTAAAACAGGGTCTTGCATGTAGCTTTCCGCTGTTGGACCTTTGGTTCCTACTATCTGAAACCGTAGCCTTGCTAGTGACACAGTGACACAGGAGTTGCACTGGGCTTTCGTCATGCTCTCTGCAGAAACGGCATGTGGCCTCTTCTGCCAGACCCAAAAGTCTCATATCTCAATTTAGACGACAGTGACCTGTCAGGAGAGCCACTATGGCCCTTATGGCCTTCCTATAGAGTCCGAGTAAGTCCTCTGTAAAAGCAGGCCTTCGTTCTGTGATGAACTATTTTGCCTGCCTTTGACTGTTTGATGCCTGTTCTCGTTACGCCACAGAAAGGCTCTGGTCCTATGAGGTGATCAGCCGCACCGTATCGGGCTAGCTCATCCGCCTTTTCATTTGCTTTGTACCCTCCATGCCCTGGTGGATGAGGGATAACAGCTTCGTCTACTTTTAGGGAGTATTGCTGTTTCTTTTTTCTTCTTGAGTTATTTCAGAGACTGCGATCCCCGTCGCCTTACTGAGGAATCCCGATTTTGAAATTTTGTTTTGATAGTATAGTGACTAGTGATTGACCTCAAGTGATTATAAGTTCACTGAGTTATTTTCAATCAGCTACATTGATTTTCTGTGAATATAACTAAAGCAATTCTGCGAAACGTGATAGGCATCAAATGTTTTTAAAACGATGCACAGCAATTTTAAAATACTGTTAACTATGGAAGGTAAAAAATACTTGATTTGGATGTATTTGAAATGTATCGCTAAAAGTGCCCAAAAAGCCATTCCAGAGATAACATTACGACTGAGCTATTGCTCAAATACATGAAAGTTTCATAGGTATTTGATTACAGATAATTTCCTGGTCGAATGAAACCACACATGTATAAATGACTTTTTATTGTTTTCGTCCACCATGCCGACCTTTTCCAAAAGTCAGATAGACAGCATGAAATCCACAAAATAAGGTGCAGGTGTTGTTGTTTAATATATCCTGGATCATGGTCGTTACGCTATTAAATATACTATTGTACTACAATGACTGACATGGTTATCTAGTCATATATTACCAGAAATACCTGAAGTTTGACTATTCGGACTGGAGATAGAGTCGCCTTACACATCTCATGTAAACGACCACGATTCACGCGAATCAATCACTACAGTGTTACTATCCTTCCTGAGTTTAAGCTGGCCTCGCACTCTAAAATATACTGATTATAAGTGTGTATAGTCAGCTTGAATTCGGGTAAGGATGGCCACATCTTAAGCAACGAAGCAAGTTATTAGTTGCCAGGTGGAGACACTCCTCACATACCACTCTTAATCTATCACTATGTCTAGTTTGTAGTCTATAGGGGGAACAGATCATCGTATGAGTATCTCTCGAAGATCCTATTGGCGATGCCGAAGACGAATTCTCCGATAACCTTGGTGATGACAGGTGACAGTTCCTTAATAATCTCTTGACTGTTTTCGTTGATAATTCGGTTGGTTTGCACATTCAGCTGATCGTTGTCACCCAAGATGTGGTCGAAGTACAAATTCGTGCTGCCGATGCTCAGATCAATTTTCTTGTCTACGAAACGTACGTGGTCCTTGCCGTTCTTCTGGTAGTGCTCGCCTTCGGTTGTCAAGTGAGCTTTCACGTTTGCTGAAAGAAAATCACATTTTAATTATTGTTCATCTTGAATTCCAAACGTATAGATTTTACTTATGCAGCGGCTATCTAGACTTGAGGCAAAAGAAGGGTCTTTTCTTGTAGTAATCGGAAATTATTTTGTCGTTTGACGATCCAAAGACCAAAGTATTATTCAAAAACAACCTAAAATGCTTTAACATAACCTAACTATTTGGAAAGTAGTTTTTTCTCCGAAGATTTAAGTCGAACAGAATTTTCGAAAATTGCACTCCTCAAGCCAATTGGCGAGTGAGTATTGAAATCGTGGAAAGTTTTGAATATGAGATAAGTTATCTGGTATGTACACCGCTATTCCTTCGACTATTTATAATTTGGAAAGCACGTCTCGGATTTTGATGCCGTTTTGATACAGTGTTTCTACCACTTCAAGAACGAAAAATTTTTGTAGTTTTTGAAAATCAATTTAGTGGCAGCGGAACTATGAACCAAAAAACGATTAAAATAGAATTAGGCTCAAACTTCATGTTTTAATGCTCCTGTTCATTTTTGGAACTGGGTGGTAAAAATTGGTACTGGCTGGTTGTAGATGGTGAGGGAGGGTATTACCACAAGTTTTTGGTATTAGTGTACACAGACACTTCTAACCTATGACACATGTTGCAAAAATACAATACAAATTTTTCTGTGACTTCGCATCGCAATTATGATCGCAACGTTGTCATTGCTTGTTAAATGGGTTGGAGATGGGGACTAATGGTATGAGCTATTTGGCTGATCAACTTATTTCATTAGTTGTACATATTTGCAGTTGACTTTTTTCTCGAAGAGGTTGACCAGCTACGTCATTTTTTGTTAGTATAAATCTGATAAAGATGAGTCTGATTCTGCAGACACCTGCCAGTATAATTTCTTTTAGCTGGAATGTCAGACTTAATCTTCCTGTCGTGAATTACCAGACCCTTTCAAATACATCATTATCAATTTTACAGTAACAGCAACATCCAATAGTTTTTAATTTCTCTAGTGTACTTCACTTTTCGCTGGAGCAGTGTTTATTGATAAAATTAAAGGATTCCACAAATAATGATCTAAGGAGTGTAAGTCATCCAGTGAGGACTGATTTACCGATATTAAAATGTTTAACATTAAAAATTTAATTTCAAACTAAAAATGTTTTGAATTAACCATGCCGATGAAGAGATAAGAAATTACCCTGATGCATTCGAAGAAATTCGGTAGCTATTTTGGACCTGCGCTTCTTTTCAGAGATGTTGAAGTATAGTATTTTAAGATCGATTTTCATTTCTCGGTGAATGTATATATGTCTCTGATATTAAAGGGTTCTAGTGTTATTCTACTTTGAATACAAAACGTCAGTTTATAGTGTGTAATCGTTCCATGGTTAAGAGTATTTACAAAAATTACTAGCAAATATTCAAGACCGGCACGTACGGTGTGATCAACTTGATTTTTTTGAAAAAAAAGGATTTTGCATTCACAAACATCACGTACAGATGAGTTCGAAATTCATAAAAAAGTTTGAATAACGCTAAATAATACGACATCAAACCCGTTTCGATGGAAAGATTACTGCTACTTATCAAATATTAGTATTTTTTTTCAAAAAGAGTATCCTCTAGCTCAAGCCTAGCGATCCAAGTCATCCTTAGAAGAAGTGTCTTAGAATATATCAAAATATATATACTAAGTGACATATAAATCCGAACACCCAGTTTAAATGGTTTTATTTTAATAAAAGTTGGTGAATGTATTTATCTTACTGTAAATAACAAGTGAAAAAATTTTCAGCCTTATCAGTTGGACATTCCGGTTTTTATACTGCTTTTTTTTAATTCACTAACGCTCTAAAAATGAATATTTCAGCCGCAGTAAAAAATCAACGTTGGCGGATTTTGGTTCTTGACATCCTTTACGATCGGTTACGATGCCTAGAGTACGGAGACCTGTAGGTGTTGTCAGGCATGGCTTCGAGAAGGCCGTACGCAAAGAGCAAGGGGCACTGGACGCCACCGTAGAACAACAGACCGTGAAGATCGCCGCCTAAGATTATTGGCCTTAAGGGACCGTTTCTCCACTACCAGGTCCATTGCAAACGAATGGTTTGCAGAACACGGAGACCTATTGGCATGCGAAGTGTTTACCGACGAATGAGAAGTTTTGGCTTGTTTTCATACCGGCCACACTGGGTCCTCCCTTTAACTAGAGAACACCGACGTAATCGCCTTGAGTGGTGCAGACAACGGTCACTCTGGGATCAGGAATGGAACAGTATTGTCTTTAGTGACGAGTCTCGATTTTGTTTAGGCATGCACGATGGTCGTGCCAGGGTTAGAAGGCGACGTGGTGAAAGGAGGAATCCACAGTTTTTTGTTGAAAGACATGTTAATCACACTGTTGGAGTTATGGTTTGGGCTGCTATAGCTTATGGTTCCAGGTCACCTTTAATCTTCATCAGAGGTAACATGAACGCGCAGCGTTATATCCACGAAGTTCTAGAACCCCATCTTTTACCCCATCTTGACACCCTGGCAGATCCAACTTTCCAACAAGATAATGCCCGACCACATGTTGCAAGAGTCACAATAGACTTCTTTCAACATAATGATGTCACATTATTACCATGGCCACCAAGATCTCCCGACTTATCCCCAATTGAGCACGTGTGGGATATGATGGGTAGGAGATTGCTCAATTTGCAACGTCCTCCTCAGACTCTAGAAGCAGTTCGAGAGGAGTTGGTGGTTGCCCGGAATGAGATACCACAGGAGGACATTGACCACCTGGTCAGAAGCATGCCTAGGCGCGTTGGAGACTGCGTAGCACATCAGGGTGCATCCACACATTATTAAAGGTCAAAGGGCTTTAAAGCAGTGCAATCATTTTGGAATTTTTATCATTTACTTATTATGCTTCATTAAGTACTTATACAAAATTTTATTAAAATAAAACCATTTAAACTGGGTGTTCGGATTTATATGTCACTTAGTATATTTAAAATTGTATTATTGGGTTGCCACACAGTTTTGAATTCCCGTTTAGAGAGTTGCATATTTTCCAAATGAGAAGCCTATAATATTTGTAACACACATCTGTAGATATCTTTTAAAATAACGGAGGTATCGACCGGTTACAGTTACCAACTAAAAACCATGCTTCAATTTATTTCAGCTATATGTGATTCAGCACCTAACTTTCAACTGAAATACCATGTAGACATACGACTGGCTGAACTTGTCAACCCTGACGATTATTTGTGTTCTGCAAGCTACTAATTAGTTTTCTAAGTTATATGTTCGCTCTAGAGCTAAACTTGGATGTGACGGTTTCTAAAGGTATTGCAACCCAGATACTAATATACGAGTATTTCGAAACTAGACATTCCATATGTAGCTCAAATGTCCTTAATGTGGATATATTCAACATAAGGCAAAGATAGACATATCGGAGATATATCTTAGAGACACTATTATACAGGGTGGAACGTTAATGTGTTATTTATTTTAAAATCCCACTACAAAAGTGAGGAAAACATTAAAACGATTTTGGAAAATTTCACTTTTTCCGTCTCTCTCCGCAACTTTGCCACCATTTAAGCGACTTCGTATCTTCTACCGTTTCCGAGATCCCAATAGAGAGGGTCGAATTTGAAACACCCGGTATGTCGTTGATCTTCGAAACTGTGGATAGTATCGATCTTATACAAGGTGGCTCATCGAAAACGACTCAGACGTATTTACTGGCAGCTCAGTTTTTTTTTTAAAAACGCACAGACCCGTCGATTTTGTTTTCGAGGGGGACACAAGTTTGGCAAAAAATCACGTTAGCACGTGCAGCCCCCCAAAATCGTAAATGGAAAGGGGGATCGAGTGATACCTTATTTTAAGGGTCTTTCAATTCCCTTTATAATGATATAAAATTAATGTACTTCAGTTCAGTAGTTTTGAAGATTTAAAGCTTAAATAAAACTAATACATCATCATTAGTGGAGATCAATACATTTGGCAGCAAAGTAATTTAAAAATAAAGAATGAACTGACCCGTTAGGCAAGTGAATGTTGAAAATGGCCACCATGAGTCTTCATGCAATAATAAAGATTTTGCTCAAAACGTTGCCGCACATCCATCGATCTGGAAACGTCTGATCTCAATATTGTCGAACACGTAATGCGTAATGTGGTGGGGCACCATCCTATTGGAACATCAACCTATTCGCAATGTACCGCCGATCATTCTAATTTTCAATTATGGCTGTTAATGCAGGATCTATGGCGTCTTCCAGTAATTCCAAATAAATTTCACCGGTAAAACTTCCATGTAAGAAAAAAGGACCAACTAAATGATCGCCAAAAATACCAGCCCAAACATTTAATTTTTGTGGCTGCTGTGTATGAACATCATGATAAATTCTGGGATTAGAATCGGACCAATATCGGCATTTATGACGATTTACTACGACATTCGTTGGAAAAGCAAAAGTTGAATAGAAAATGTTCATCGTTTATAATTCGTTCACTCATATCTTCACAAAATTGTACTCGCAGATCAAAATCGTCTTCATTAAGTTCCTGTAAAAGGTGAATTTTATACGGATGAAAACTATGGGCCTTTAGAATTCGTTGGACAGTACTTCGACTAACGCATACAGTCTCCAATTTGCGGGTACTTAACGTAGGATCTACATAAACTTGCCCTAAAACCCCCACTTCTATTGCTTCGTTCCTTATGGGATTTTCAATGTTGCGTTTTTTATTGGCGACTGACCCAGTTTCCCGAAATTTAGCTACAAGTTCTAGGACATATTTTCGATGTACGGTACTGTTCTCATGTCGCTCATTAAATATTTCTGCTGTTCTATTAGCGCACTGATTATTTCCGAAAAATATTTCGATAATTTCAACTCTTTCTGCTGTGGAATATACCATGGTTAACTTAAGTAATAAAGTGTTACAAGTTATTTTAGCAACAAAATTTGGTCAAATCAATCGCAAACT